AAAATTCACTCAAAATATGAAACACTTATTGATTGTGAAGACAAACAACACTTCAGACAATTGTCTCTACGATTGGATCAATTGAGTGATAAACAAACCGAGGAAACAATAGAACCACAAGAAGTGAGACAAACTCGTGGCCATCAGAAGAGACTAAGATCTCGAGAAGTAGTGAAACAAACGGATCAAACAAATGGATCCCAAAATTCAAGACAAAAGAGAGTCTATAAGAAGACAAAGACATCACAAGAAGTAGTGAAACGAGAAGACAATGATTTGGCGGAAGAAGTGGTCACTAATGAAGACTCGAATGAGAGGAAGACATCGACGACAGACACAGACCTCAAGAGTATTAAAGACAATGAAAATCAAAAGCGATTGAACCGAAAGCCTAATCGAGTCTTCAAATTAAAGGTAATTCATTGCGATTACAAAGACTGTGACTATAAGTGCCGATCGGACGCAGGACTGGCCTCTCATATGAAATCACATAACAATCAAAAGACCGAAACCTATAGACAGCAACGGCTATCACTTCACCGCCGGTGCTATGATTTGGTCACCAATTCATACATTTGTGACGAAACCGACTGCGAGAAGGAGTTCAAGAAGATTTGGGACTTAAGACAACACATAACTCGTACCCATATTAACAAAACCATTTGCTGTGATTATACCGATTGCGGCAAACTATTCAAAACATTGGAAGCAATGAAAGCTCATTACAGGTATATTCACAGCGACGACAAGCCGTATAAGTGTCCGCACAATGGCTGCGGACAACGGTTTATACACAACAGCCGATTGGAGGCACACGTGGCCTGTCATGTGACGGACCGGCGGTTTAAATGCGATTTCATTGGCTGTCATAAGGACTTCAAGACTGGGCCCGAACTCCACTCACACAAACGGATCCATAACACGGAACCCACGTTTAAGTGCGCTGTCGAAGGCTGTCGACAACGGTTTCATTTATACACTCAACTCGAGAAACACCGACAAAGTGTTCACTCGTGGCCGTCGCGTCGGGTCCGACATCCGGGTCATCGGGTGCCGTGTCTTTGGCCGGGCTGTGACTTTAGGGCTGAAAAGCATAGACTAAAGCATCACGAAAGGAAACACACGGGTGAGCGGCCGTATGTCTGCGATTGGCCAGAATGTGGCAAACGGTTCGCCCGACCCGACGGCCTGAAGGACCACAAGAATATCCACAACAATGTGAAGCCATACGCCTGTCATTGGCCCGGATGTCAGTACCGGTGCGCCAGTAGTGCCAATATATGCAAACATTATAAACAAGTCCATCAAAAGTGATTTATTTATTTATAAATTAATTTTAAATTTTTATTTGTGAATTAATTTTTATTAAAAGATCACTTTAGATAATTAATACAATTTTATTAATGATTTATTAAATCGTTTTAATTAATTGCAAATAATTTCATTACAAATATTTGATTGCATTAACAAATTGATGGCAATTAATAGTAAGTCCCCTAAAGTTGTTGTCATTTTGTGAATTGTTTTTATGATTATTAATTGTGTTTTAAATCACTATATATTTAGTTATCATTTGATTAAGAATTTAATTAAACTTTTAGTTAAATTATGGTTAAAATGAAGAGAAAGAAAAAGTTATTAAATATTAGTATAAATGATATTTTGGATGAATTAATGGCTGAAAACAAACGACTTTTACATGAAATCAAGTGTTTATTTAAATTGAAAACACATTTAATTAAAAT